TGTGTGTATGCATATCTATATATATATATATATGTATATCTGCATGTGTATATATAGGTATACACACTCAGGTATGTGTGTGTGCGCGCATGTTTTTATATATATATATATACACACATACTTTCATGCATTCACGCATTCTTGCAAGCTTTGTGTACATGTACACACAGAAAGAGTGGGATCTATACACATACATACATACATACATATACATACATATATATATATATATACATATCTATGTACCCAATGTTATATAATTAGATATTTATATTACACGCACACGAGGGTGTTTACATGTATTTTGCGTTGAACAAACAAGTTGTCTGCAGCGCCTCATCCTAATGACTTGTTATAGGCATGCGCATACAGTTCAGTAATTCGAGCCTGTCAAGGTACTTCCTTTTGCTTAATCTCAAGTGTTTGTGTCAGCTTAGCTTGTCGTGGCAGCTCCTGCTTTTTCCCTGATTTGCTCGCGCTGCTGGAATACCAGCATGTGCAGGGCACGGTAGAAGTCGGAGGTCCTCCCGATAAGGCTGGGCTGCCATAGGACACCTGGCCATATCAAGCAAGGCGATTCCAGATAAAATGCTGTGTGGTAGTACATGTATTGAAATGCTGAACTTACGTAGTCTTCACAGCATGCTGCAAGTTGTTTGGAGTTGCCGTTCCAGTTTTGCATGGATCCCATGTGCAGCGGCGCAGTGGTCGGGGACCAAATCGCACAAGCCAGCGCCATGCAACTGTCCGAACTGTCTTCTCCGAAAGTGAGAGGAAAGCGGTTCGAAGGCAAGAGGTCCGACTGAAGTTTGCCAATAGAGGGGTGCCGCCGGCTGTGGACCCTTGGTTCTTTCAGCAGCAGTCACAGCCGCTACTGTAGAGCAATAGTTGAAATGCAGTTTGAGCATAGCCAACACATGATGCTGAGCCCATGGGGTTCGTGTGCTCAGGCACACAGTCTGTGTCTCGCTGCATAGCCAGGGGTTCAGCGCCGGTGATCCTTCGCCCGAAGGGCTGATGGAGCAGCTACTCCTTTAGATTCGGTGCGACGTGAGTCTGGCCAGCCCGACATTTTGACCTACGTCATGGAGTCTCGACGACTTCTGCAGTGGGCGCTCCACGGGCGGGATTGCCACAACAGCGTAAGGGCCCAAGGCCAAGACAGTGGCCATGCTCTACACCAAGGGTTCCCAACCTATACCTATATGTAGTACAGAAACCTTGATAATCCTAGCGTTAATAATTTCTCACAAATCCTACTGTAGTGAGAGGCTGTAACAGCTCCCAGTGACCTGTACCTGGAAAGATCGGTTGCGCCACATTTAAGTCGACGGTCCGAGTACCTCTTAGTTACACTTTGTGCTGGGCAACAGGGTCCCCTCTGCGATTTCAGGGGTGTTGTTGGATCACTGGATTTAGTGTGTATGGTTGAGTGAGTGGTTTAGCGTTGAGCCTTGTACATCAAGAAGCCTAGCGCGGAATGTTACCTGACAGTTCAGTGGTGCTTGGCTCCCCTCGGCATCGAGCGACCACACCTTGGTGCATTGAACGACGCCAGGAGCCAGACATAGTGCAAATGCGTGATTTAAAAAAGGGTGGCAGCCTGTAACGCAGTCAGGCGAACGGGCTCCCAGAAAATCTCTGCGAGCATGTGTCGCAGCACCGTCGTGTAGAGGTTTAGTTGATTTGACGCTTCGACATGGATTGTTTTAAATACCGCCGCTTGCTGCGGAATGTTGTCGGATAGCGCAAGGAGCCAGAGCCTTAACCCTACAGAAAGGGCTGCCGTGGGTAGAACCTTCAGCCCTAGCCGTGCAGAGCTCGGTTCTTTGCTCCTAGCCCGAAGCTACCTTCAACAACGAGGCTCTCTAGGAGCTTGCTAATGACGTTCCATCTTCGGGCTGATTGTGGGGTTTGGGGGATTATGGGAGTCTCTAACTTCCAGCACTGAAGTGGTTGTGTATGCCCTTATACATATTATATATATATATATATACATATATGAATAGTAAATGTAGCTTATATTGTACCTAACTCAAAAACTTCGGCCTAATTCTGTGGCGCTTCCTCATCCGACCTTGCTCCAGCTCCAGTTTGGCCAATGGAACCATCGGACCACATAATAGCATGCTGGGACCGGGGCCTACATATCTGTATCTATTCTGCAGGGACCTCGGCTAAACTATAGCAGTTCGCGCCAGGGTTCCGGCATGAGGGTTTAACCAGACCACCATGCAGACGGCACCACCCCTTTCAAACCCCGGTGCCCCACACATTGAGACTCAGACAGCGCAATCTTCAGGCTTCGAGGATCCCGCCTGAATCTACGAAGCCTATAGCCCTACACCCTAGACCCTGAGCCCTTGCAAGGGTTCGGAGTCCAGAGCGAACTGCTTTGTCCATGGCCTGAGCGATGGCCGGCTAGATGGACAGGT